AATTCAATCCATATAGTAGTAGATCTAGTTTAATATTATCTTCATATTTTATCGGTATTCTTCCTTCAGGTTTGCCAACTAAAATTATCCTTTCTCTTCTTATATCTCCCATATGTGCTACATGCCCCGTCCGTATCATCCTAATAACAAAAACAATTTTGAATCTGAAGATGGCAGTCTTCTGGGCTGTTGTGCCGTGCAATCTCGTAGAAGGTTAGCGATATTTCGGAGGTCCTTGCTGCCACCATCATCAGGTCACCAAGGGATATAGATATTTCATCCCTGGATAATTTAATCAAAGAAATTTCATTAAAGTATATAAATAACATATTTAATTATAATTTATATTATTAATGATAGGATAATACGCTCTGTATTCAAAGGAGATAAATACAGAATTTGTAAATTTTACTCTCTACCATCTCTATGGAATACATAAACTCTTTTCTGCGTGATAAACATTGTACCAAAATAATTCTTATCCATGAAGCCAACAGGGAATAATTCCCTGCAGAAGGCATTGGAGAAGTATTAGGCTTTACCAGTGAACAAACGAGTCCCGCACTTGTGAGCTGTTATTTTGAATTTCGCCACAAAATATAACAATATTAACGGATGTTTATAGCAACGAATATATTTTTGAAAGCTTTCACGCGTTATCTCTTCGAAATGATTAAAAATCCACTCATCGTATAACACGAATGGACGTCAGTCAGGTACGCGTTAATGGGACTGAAATTCGGTTGCAGAAGAGTTTAATGGCGTGTCGCAGGTTTGCAGCGCCGAGAACGGAGATCAGATTACGTCCCCCGTAGTTATTCATGGAGATACTATTCTCACTTAAGATGCAACAAAATTTTATGGAGATGTGATCTCGCCTTACTTGTTCGAAACCTCTTGTCCTCGAGTTTCAACGCATAAGATTGACTGTCGGGTTTCAGCCGCGTCGTTTGTTGAAGTGATTCTAACGTTTCGAATAAAATTTAACTAGCCATCTTCAGGGTGAACATTATGGATCATAGAAAAACAGGCATTTGGTGCCGGTCTCTTGCCTTAATTGCATCTGGGGTTCTCACAGCTGTGAGAATGTCAGTGTTGGTCTGTTGTTCTGAGGACTTGTACGTGATACCAACGCTTCGGGCAAATACGCTGCGCCCATCTTCAGGGCTTCAGCCCGAAAGATGGAGGTACCGAATTTGAATCTTTATGGTAGACCAGTCGATTCTGTTCAGTTTCCATTTTATTTATTTTCCTCAGTAATTCCACAATAACCACGGAATATTTCTTTGGAAGACAATCACAATTTTTAATCCTTGTGATTATTTAATGGCCAGTGATTCGTCAAAGTTTACGAGAATGAACGTTTTGTGTTGAATAGTAATAATATTTATTGCAACGTTATCTTTCAACAATGTAAATAATGAAATGTGCCGTCTTCTATGTTTGTTCACAAACAATAGAATATTTCAACAATAATAGTTCATGTGCAATGCGGCTTTTAACTTTGCTG